CATCGCGATGTAAAACAAAATGTCGGAAAACTTTTCTTTGACGCATGCGCATTTGCATAAATGTCTACACACACACACATACACACTACACACAATAAAAAACATAGGAAATAGCAAGAGTGATTACATTCATAGGAACTAAAAATGTTAAATGTTGCAGGGAAGTATGCAAAGGAGTGGAAGCTTTTAATAAATCTATGTGATGGTCACTGGAAAGCGTATTAACCGAGAAAAACAAAAAAACACAATTTGCTATAAATATTTGGGAGTGATAATTTCCTCAAATCAAAAGGGAAATAACTACTACCAACATTTCATGCAAAAAGGAAACCATTTAATTATAAAGGTGTAATTGGGAACCTTGATCATTTTAATAGGGTCTTTTACGCGGCAATATTCTATGGAAGACAATAGCACTTCCCTCTATTTGTGGCGATTGGCATAGCAATTCAAAAAAAGATAATAAAAAAATGACTTAGAAAAGCTACCATTACAAATGGCCAGATTTCTCGCTGTGCACAGCAAGAAGCGCTGTATTGAGACAAAGACAATACATCAGATTAAAATAGCAAATAAAAAGATTGATAAAGTAGATTTAAAAAAAGGTAACAGACAAAAGTTTAAAAAAAAAATTGGCTTACAGAATTTCATTCTGCAAACCCCAACCGTTAAAATACCAAAAGAACTAGGAGCGATTAAAAGCCTACAAAATTTAAAATATTAAAAATTAGATCGATTACTAATTTTACTAGAAGAGTGTCATATCCGGCAATCTAGAGGTACTATTTCTCTCCAAATTTTACCACCTCAATAAAACTACGTTTTCCGTGATCATGACGTCATTTGAATTGATTTGTCAAAATATTTTATTATCGCATACACATAAATCGTATCGAATCGTCCTAGTTTAAAAACTTCTTATTTCTATAAACAATTACTTTTATCCTTTTATCGTCATCGTTGCAAGTATGAACAGGCCTTATCCCATAAATTTACCGTTCCGCAACTTATGGGTCGCGACCCAATGTTGGAATCGCGGAAAAATTAGATAGGTCGTATAACCTCTTTAGATCGTGAAAAAATTACTTATTATGAACAAGGACAAACGAAAATTAAAATAGTAAAAAAAAACTGCAATTATAGTGTGGCATGTGCGTCAGTTTACTTTTGTAATGCGTGCGTTATCAAAAATTCATGCAGTAGCAAAGGTGCGAAAATTGTAAAATCAATTCATTGGCATAACGAAGGGGGCCGAAGGCCCCAAGGAGCCAGGCACTGGGTGCCAGGGGCCGTGAAGGGCCCCGGTGGGAGTCTGGGAGCGAAGCCCGAAGTCGCTCCGGTGTTTGTAGCGTTCTTTGGAACAATTGAGTTTGTATCGTGATTTGACAATATAAGT